CCCGCCCCGGGTCCCGGCCTTTGGGCTGTCCTTACCGCGCCCCCCCCCCCCGCACCCGGGAGGGCAGACTTGCACCCCGGGGAGCGGTGGGCGCTGCGGGGGGCGGCAGCCCCGGCGCGGCAAGGGCGGCATTAGCCTTTTCATGGGTCTTTCCTGCTTTTAACGACTGAGCCTGCCTTTCGTCACCTGGAAACTTCCTCCGGAGTGCCGAGCCAGGCGCCCGGGCACGGGCGCCTTTTGGAAAGCTCCGCAAGATGCGCACACCTCGGTTCGTGGGGACCCAGGCCACTGCGGAGCGCCCCGAGGCTGCGGCTGGAAAAACTCCTTGCCCGGGAGGAAGCGCAGGGGCGCGGGGGGGTGCAGCCCTGGGGTGCGGGGTGTCTCAAGGCTCAGCCAGAGCAAGTCACGGCTGCCCTGGCCCCTGGCTGGGGGTGGCCCCGCGACCCGCGCTGCTGGGGCCCTGCGGCTGCAAGCGTGAGCGCTACATAAAAGCTGCTTCCCTGCAAATGCCATCAGTGTCAATGCACTTACTAATCCTCCACTGCGCTTTACTCCCTGTCAATCTGCCCCATACATCCAGTGACGGCCACCTCCTAGAGCAGCTCCAAGTCTGCCACCAGCCCAGAGAGCTGCCTTCCAACCTCGTAGTGATACAGGGCCAAAATAGGAACAGGGGATGTAAGGGTTAACATGAGAATAGCAAGAAGGGGATAATAGCAAGAAGGGGATAACAAAAGAAAATAGTTCAAGGGAAATAGTTTAGATAACGGTTAACTGTCTGCTTAGTGAGCAGACAGTTTATAAAACACGGTGAGCTCTCTAGGCTTTATCAGTACCAAGCCGGTTGGAACTAGACCCACGGTTTGGACAACAGCCAGTAAGAAACTGAGTATGCGCAAAACCTGGGGTCACAGAGCGGACAGGAGGAAGAGGAGCTTGACTTCATCCCCAAAGACCCCCACGACCACCACCAGAAGACACTGCGCAGACTCAACTAGGAGGAGATTATGGAAATGCTAATTATAATATGAAGCGGGGATAGGTGTTGAATATGTATAGGCGTATTGCGAAATATTATGAATATGTAATCATTTGCTCTATAAATCTTAGGTAACAGCATCACACGTTGGGTACACAATAGGAGGAGTTATCCCCTGTGTACCTCAGCGCTGAATAAACATACCTACTTTACAATCTATCAGATTGTGGAGTCTATTTCCGCACGTCAGTTGTGTCAACACTTTTAATAACATTGCTGCCAAATCTTTCCTCTATCTCACATTTGAGTCACTGTAAAGGCCCATGGATTTGTCCTATAATCTTTTTTAACAAACCTCCCGCAAAGCATCAGCCCCAGGCTCCTCCTTGTCTCTGATGTCTGGCCTCCACCAGCAGCCACAAGCCATGAATGGCTGTCAGAGGAGCTCAATCCATCTGAACACACCTCCAGACTCGCACTTCCCTGACCTAACAATGACCTTCATCTGAAAATGACCCCAGTCTCCATGAGATGGTACCTGGCTTTTTTTTCACAGCTCGTCATACAGCTGACCTGGCTGGCGCTGAGGTTCTGTGTCCCGTGGCATTTGGAGAAAGATCTGCAATTAGCTCTGGAAATATTGCTCACGGCTGGGCAAAGGATACAGATGGGGACCCTGCCAAGCACTGGATTCAGTGCGTGCCTGGTAGAGGTTGAGCAGGATTATGGCCCAAGTCACTGGCATCATCCCAGCTGCTGGCAGGAGTGAAAAGGGCACTTAGAATCACCCAGTCCACCCACTGACTGGCCCAAATGCCCAAATGTCTTCAGGCTGAAGAAGGCTGATGGGTACCAGATCAGTCAAACCCAGATGCCAGCGTCTACACCACCTGCTTACCAACTGTCTTTCTCAAGGGCATGCAAGCCAAGAGCAGCTCAGGAAGGGGTCCACTGGCACTACCAAGCTTCCCTAAAAGTCCACATTGCCTTTACACTCTGAGATACACGAGTCACTTAATTTCTATCCCATCTGGATGCTGTCAGATCCAGCTTTATGGGCACCAGAAGCTCATCCAAGTGTTACAATCCCCTCAGATCCCATTCGGCCTGTCTCCATCAGGCGAGACATTAACCCAGCTTCTCAGCACATTTGTTTTCAGTGTTAAGTATCAGTGAAGCTTCTTTTTTAGCTCTCTACCATGACACACTGCAGGGATAAATGCTGCAAGTAATGCACCTTGCAGCACTGTTCACAAGACACCAAGTATCACTAACTCCAGCTACATCTAAGCCCTTCTTCAGGTCTCAAGGTAATGGCTCAGCACGCCTGGAGCACGTCCGCTCAGGTCACAAGCTCCTCTTGCCCCAACCAAGTTCTAACCTCACAGAGCAGGGCCATTCTACTGTTAAAGACTTCTCAGCAATGAAAAAAACCAAAACAAAACAAAACATAAAAGGAAGCTTTCAGGCATTATGAAGGCTTAAAGTGAGGGGGTTTTCATTACATGATTCTTTTTCACTTTCCTGCTCTAAGCCTAACACATCAGCACATGAGAATCACGGATCTCAGAGGTTTGCCTGATGCACTGCAACTGTGAGAACTAAGGGTGAGTGTGGTGAAAACACAGACACAACAGAGCTCTGCAACAAAAGTCTCCCTGAATGGGGAAGGAGTAGTCTAGGAGTAGAAACCTTGGAGCTAGGAACTCATTTTGGGATGGCAAAGAGGGTGCTCCTCGCATTTCTCTAACAAAACCGAGTGCCTCGAAACAACCTGGGGTGAACACACTGGGAGATGAAAACAGGTAAACTTGAACTTTGTAAATTTAACAAAATACAGAGGAGATGGAATAAACAGAAAAGAGGTGGTTTGAAAGTGCTTATTTTTCACAGCTTTGGAAAAGTAAGAGATCTGCTTCGGTTTGGTTTTTGGTTATTTTTGTTGGGGTTTTGGTGTGTTTTGTTTTCCCTAGGTAATGAATGCTTTTTTCAGTTTATAAAATTCACCGTGGTCCACAAAACATGTCTGACAATGCTGCGTTCCCTTTAGCTAGCTGGAAAGTTATCTTGGGTCGGGTCCCGAGAATTACTCTCCATCTCCACATCTCAAGGGAGGATCAGCTGGACTTCTGCAGATACATCCTACCTGTTTTTCACATTTATAATGAAACTGGAGTTCCAGTAAATTTCCAGGCTTCCCCCCTCTCTTTAGAAAGACCAACTAACCTAATCTAAATGTACCTTTCTGCAATTCAAACTCTTACATGTACTATTTTCCTTACATATAAACTCTTTTAGATTCTTTATCAGTGAAAACTTTTGAAAGTGTTCCCCTTCTCAGCCTTCTATCCAGACTAACTACAAATCCTGCTATTTAAGCCAGATTTTCTAGACTTTCATTGCTCTTGCTTTTGTCTGGATTTGCTGTAATTAATCCACCTCTTTTGTGTAGGACAGTACCCAGAACTGCACACAGGATTCCTGGGGAGGCCTTTCAAATAGCAGTCAGAATGGAAAGATCAGGTGGAACAGTAACTCCACTCCCTGCTCGATTCCAACACGACATGGGAGCACCCCTGGTGAGGTATCATGCCTTCATGAAAGCAGAGAAATCATACACAACAAAGCCCAAACACAGACTGCTGAAAAATTGCTGTTAAAAACCATGCAGCATTCTGTGTGAATTAATAGCTTACACAGAGCAGGCAGGTCTGATGCCTCCTAGGGACAGCAGGCTGACTACTCAGTAGTAATTATGCTAACTGCTTCATGGATCAGCATCAGCAAACTCTAAGTGTTCAATGTGTGTTTTTCAAAGCCGGAGCACAAAATTAGTATTTCAGGTATTAACATAACTTCTCTCTCAACAAGAACTCTTTTAAGAGTCTCACCTCAGCATACTAAAAATATGGACAGGACCGTGTTAACTAGCAATTTGCATTAGATAGCAGTTTGTTAGTTTATCACTGCCCACTCTAGTCATAAGGGCTCTGCTATATACCCTGTGTACAGTCCAGGCAGAGAGACACTCATCAGACTTCCAGGAGGACTCCTTGCTGCTTAGCTCAGACCTTCACTACAACTATACCAGAGTTAGACTAAGACGGTGCAAATATAAGTCTTACATGCTTAAACAGCTTGTTTGCTCAGAATTTTTGCATGCATTTTCTTTCTCCCATCCTAATGTTACATATGCACTGCACCTTTCAAGTGATGGGTCCCTTTCTGTCCAGTCCCCTTTACCTGTGCAGACAGCAAGCTGACAGAATTTCTTAGTTTAGCTTGTGTATTACTAGAAGGATTATATAGCTATGCACAACAGAAAAAATCCTTCTGTTGACAATCACTTTGTAAAGTTTTAATACTGTGTTTAACAATCTTAAGGGACTATGGCAAGCAAAGTCAAATCTAAGTAGCAGACTCTGAAATACCATCATGTCTACACCTCCTCTAAATATTTCTAAGGCCAAAAAGAAAGTAGACTCTAAAGTTGGCCAAAAATACTGTGTTCAGAGGACTTTAAGCACTGATCCACATGTTTATAGGACATTGCTTGCTTCTCTCTCCAGGGAGCAGCAGTTCTTGAAAGTTTCTCAGAAGGAGACAGGAAAACAAGCTATCAAAAAAGAGGCAAGGGAATGCCTTGAATTTAGCAACTGGGTGGTGGCTTGGGGTGAGGAGGGGAGCAGAGGATTCAGAAAGATGGTATCATTGCTAAAGAACAGCAAGCAGACTAGTAAGCACAGAAAGTACATAACCTCCTGTGAAAGTTAAGCCTCACAAATGCAATTTCCCAAACAAGGCACTTTTAACTATTCAACTCTTATGTAGTTAAGGAAGGGGAAAAAGTCCACCAGTAGTGCATGTCTCTAACACTAAATCCAGAAATATTGAGGACTGTTTCCATGCTTCCCAAGTAATAAAAATGCTAGCTAAAGAAAATGGGTAGTACCCAGTAAAGGTTGTGAGTAGGAGTTATGAGATTAAAAAGCCGTCAAAATTAGGGAAAGATCACAAGAACAGAAGTCAACATGTTTTATTGATAAATAGCTTTTTTAATATTTTCACCCAAAGATTCTAGTATTACAAGGGTAAACAAAGTGCAAATTTTCAGAAGGTCAGCTGAAGTCAACAGAACCCAAACTTGTTAAATAAACCCTTTTCAAGGAACACAGATTTTTCAGTTTTATCATCTTCATGTTTTCAAGGCCATGTAGTAGTTACATTTCTCTTCAAAGCCTGTTACTTATTTTATTGCTAAAGAATCTGAGTTGCTACATTTCAGAAGTGGTGATTAATCATCCTTTGAAAATTCCACAAGACTTTGAGACACAAAATCATGAATCCATATATCGGTATCTGGAAGAGATGTGTCCACGAGAAAAGTCACTATTTTTCGATCCCAAGAGTTAGTGCTTTCATGAACCGCCTGTATCTGTGCCACCAAGGGTTTCTTCTCTACAAGATTCCGAAACACTATTGATGCCTCTTCTGACCACTGCTGGCTTTTCACTCCTAGGACAAATGTAAAACAAAACAGAAGGTCACTTATAGACTAGACCAATCTGAATGATTAAGTTTCTAAAGAAGTGGGGGGAGTTTAAATAGTTGTGAAAACAGATGTTCAAGTGCTACTGAATGCAGATTAACTCTAGAAAAGAAGCATAAGCTCACTCACCTCCCACACGAACAGGCTTACTTATTACAGAGACTAAGACATGTATTTTTCCTTGAAGTCTAAAGATATGGACAAGTTTGCAGAAGTGAAAGGCAAATGCATTGACTCACTGAGAAATTCAAAGTATATTATATCAACTGCCATGCATGATCAAGGCATGTTAGGAAACATGACAAAAAGGAAACTAAAGATAAGGCACGTTAGGAAACATGACAAAAAGGAAACTAAAGATCCTTTCAAAACAAACTATTTATTTGTCTTCTGCCTGAGGGTGCTAAAATTATTTGTCCTGTTGGCCTTACTTTAGATTTTTTCTTCACCTCAAAGCAGCATCAGCTACTAAAACATCTGCCAAACCTTCAAGTCCCAAACTAGATCTGCAGAGAGAAGTAACAGAGAAATGCCACTTAAATGCCTCATAACTGCTGCTACTTTTTTGAGATCAGCATCCCACAAAGTCAAGTCTGCTGAGGGATGTGATGTTAGAACCCAAACAGGTTTTTGAATATGGATGTAATCCACCAAGAAAGAAGTGGCACCTGAAGACTTGGAATTCAGTCTCCCCAGACCACCGCTGGTGTACAGCATCTGGACACAAGGGACTCAAATATTGTACATGAATACCCAAACAACTTATGAATAAAATAAGCAAAACAGCAAAGTGGCAACACTTTGCTTTTATTATTATCAGCAGCTTGCTGCTGATGGACAGGACAACAGAGGAACACAGCTCCCTGCCAGGTTACAGAAGGAAGGAGAAGATAGTTCATCAACAGTTAAGAAAGGGCAATTAGTGCTAGGAAAGGCCGGTGGGGAAGCAAACGGGATTTTACAAGGACATAGATCAGAGGCTGAGAGGTATCAGAGATGAAAAAAGAGAGAAAAATGTGGAAGAATAGCAAGGCAATAGTTACCAGTCTTCTGGGCTCAGTTGGCCTGCTCTGACAATATGAAGCAGCTCAGAGGCCAGCTTAACTAGCTACTTGGGATTCTGTTAAGCAGGAAAATTGTATGACTTGCAGGCTTGCTCAGCTGGATCCTGTACTACCCCAGTAGACAGACACAGATAAAAATCAGCTTCATTTCAGCACTGCACTCCCAGGACCCCAGCCTGTCAGTAACACATCCATCATCACTAGTTTAAAGCATCCCCCAAGGTCACACTGAGGCTATGCGGGAAAGCAGATCCACAGAAGGCAACCTAGGATCCGAGCACCAACTCTGCAGCCTGCCACTTCAGACAAGCATATTCTGTAACTGAAGTCTAGATTAGTGCTGACCAAACAGTGGCAGAAAGCAGCAACTGAATAAGAAGAGATGCATACACCTGGAAGCAATACAGAAATGAAAGAAAAATTTGGAAAAGAAAGAAAAGACAGCAAGGAGAGATCAAATTTTATTTTTGTAATTCTGTCAGATGTATGCACACTCTCTATGCCCCACATTCTCAAGGAAATTAATCTTACTTAAGTCTGTTGAAAGCCCCCACACCCCTTGTGCGTTTTTTTGTTTGTTTGAGAACACCAGCCAGTATATTTCAGGCAACTCTGGATTCTAAATATACACTGGAAAACAGTAAATTACAGTAGGGGCAAGATACATAAGAAAAACTTCCCCAGAAACTCAGCACCTAGTTCCTAACTTTATGTAGATTAGGATAATCAGATCATAAATTCTTATCAACAAATATATTAGAACTTTCACACTTTGTAATGGGTTATGTTTAAGGATCCAGAACCATTTAGTTTTGATTTCCCTGTGTCCTCCATATATTAGACATCACACACATTAAGTGAAAAATATTTTTGACAATGAAAAGCAACTGCTGGGAAAGCTTAAGCAAGCTTCAGTTTTATACACAGTAACTAAAAGTGCTGCATTGAAATAAACAGAACCATCACCACCTATGTCAAGAAGAAAAGCAGAACTACTTTGATGACATAAACATGCATGTATTAAGTATGTTTTTGCAAGCACGTACATGCTTGCTTTAGCAAAAAACAATCAGACCACTAACCTTTGGCTTTGTCCACTTTATATTTCTGTTCATTTGGTATCCCCACTGATGTAAGACTTTAACAAAATTGTGGATGTTTACTACCTACCTGCAAGCTGAGCTGTTATAGCTTGGAAAGGTAGTTTTCTAAATGTATCCATGAGTGGTTGTACTTTCTCTATACTGACAAATTCATGTTTACCATAGTCCAGCTCATACACTGACAAAAACCCATTTCTAAGAATTCCTTTTATTATGACCCTGTACCACCTAAAAAGGGGAGAGAAAAAGAATAGACAATTTGAATTTGTATTCACACATTGTCAAGGCACCAGAAAAAAAAATACATGACAAAAAGATCTTAACCAACATGTCTCAAGCTTCCCAGATCTGGTATTATTGTAATAGAAGTCAACTCTTCCAACTACAATCTGTAAGCATGAAGAGACTGCAACCTCATTTACTCCCTTAATCTTTCAGACATTATTGGACACCTGCCACCTTGTTAACAATGCAGACAAAGCAGAGCTAGGCTTGCCTAGCTTAGCAGAGCTAAGCTTGCTTTCAAAGATTTTGTTTTTAAGTATCTACTTACTGATTTTCAATTTTAGCTGCATACAGCTTGTTTTTTTCAATGTTCACAGGTTTCTCCTCAGCCCTGCTGTAGTACAAGATCATTTCTTCCATCAGGGCTTCCAGATTATGTAGCTCTTTCCAAGGCTGGACAATGAAGTGACCTGGATGGCAGGCCAGTGAGACATAGACATCCATGAGCTCACCAGTCTTTGACAAGGGTAGAGGTGGAGGCATATCAATGGCAGACACTGCATTGCTGGGTTCTCTGGATGAATCTGATAAACTCTTCTCTAGCTTTCCACTAGTTAATCGTAGAGCTGAAACAGCATCACTTGTCACTTTCGTGGAGGTAGTTCCACTGGGTGTAACACTCAAGAAAACATCTTTCTGATGCTTCCACAGGTCTGCATTTTTGATCTTTCGATTGACACTATGATCCATGTCTGGGAGATTCTCTGGAGCAAACAAGTAAACGTGTGCAATTCCCTTTGAAGAATCCTGTTTAACCACCTTGGAAAACAAAATACAGTTTAACTTCCAGTTGATAACTATTAAATGCACATCTGATTTTGTACAGGAGTCTAAAGCCTTTAACAGAAAAGCAGCAACAGTTCATTGCATTCTATATGCACAGAAGTATTTTCAAGGTTCTCTCAAATATGTTAATGAAGTTGTTGGATAGTAAGCAACTCACAGCAGCTAAAAAGAGCATTTGCAGCTATTCCACTAATGTAAAGCAAATGCAAAGCTTGAACTGAGTTTTGTTCTGACCCACAGGTTCAATCTCAGTACTGAATATACAAATCTAATTTTCAGGGAAACAGTAGCCAGTGTCCATACAGATCTAAACAACTAAGTAATGCTATTAAATATTAACACTTAAATCCTTCAAAATTCTCTTTCTGTGATTATGGGAGATGAAGCCTTGAAAATTAAGGATGGGAAAAAAATAAACATGAAAAAAAGCTTCCAGGTTTGTATCATGCATAATTTTCAAGCACCAGTATAAAAATATTTCCTATTTAACATCAGATAGTAAAGCACTGAAATTTTAATTTGAAAAAGTATATGACATTTCTTTACAGATTCCTCTGTTGATTTTCCTAGCCATGAATAAAAACTTTCCACAATTAAAGCATACATCTGTTGTCTGTTATTTAATCAAGCAAAAACTAGTGCCAAACCCAAACAATCTTGAAAAAGGATGTTTAGAAAAGCCAAATGCAACAGTTGTAAGTCCAAGACTAGAGGAGCTATGTTTTAGCTATACAGTCTAAAGAGTTAAAGCAAGCAAAAAGGTAAAGGAAAGCTACAAAATGCTTTTCCAAAGTGCTGTGACAGTATCTGGAATAAAATTTTAAAGACAAAATCAACTTTGTTTAGTCTGTAGCTAGTAATAATTTCCTTTAGAAGGGTGTTTTCCGTTAATTAAACTCGATTGGATACAGTGCAAGTAGAAATAATTTTATCTGAAAGATAACAGAGGTTCTAATTATAAGTAGCAGATACTAAATCACACTGGATTAGAAAGAACAAACAGAAAATGAAGCTGCTTTCCAATGCCACAAGGAGAAAAAGCTATGCTCACAAGAGGCATAAAGATAATTTAAGATTAACTCAACAGTTGTATCTTTTTATGTGGTAAAGCATTAACAACTGTGTTTCTTTCTTATCAGTTGGTAGAATAGCTCCATATTTGGACTGGGACAGCAAAATGTGAAAGGCTAAAATGAAAGTTGCTAAATTCTTGAGAGGAAAATAGAAGGTTCTAATGGGCTTAAGCAAATAAGTTTTATGCCAAATGTCCTACGGAAAGGACTTTGTATACAAATTATACCCAAGAGCAAGCTACAAACTTTTAAACTTCTTTAACAAAAATCAGTTTGATGAGTGGTTAAGCTTCTAGAGTTGTTCTTTCAATGCTATTTCCACACACCTATGGATTTAAAGTCACATAGGCATTTTGCCTATTTACCTTCATGCTAAATTCAGGACAATTCATTACAGTGTCTCTCAGCCACAGTACAGCATCTGGAGTCCACATGCCAGTGTTAGGAGGCAGATCTGCCAGGCAGCATTTTATAGCCTAAGAATAGAATCAAGCATACAAGGTATAATTTACTAATATGGAAACTAGTCCACAAGTTCCTATTCACAGAAACTTCATTGATGCTGACAGATTCAATAATGTACAACAGAGACAGAACAGCATGCAAAACCAGTACTATTACACATACACAACACCCTGTTGATACACAGGACTACATTATGATTTATTTCAGGCAAAGATGCACAGTGAAATAACACTCCAGTGTTGAATGCAATCAAACAAAATAGAATTTCATTACATAATCCTTGAAGTAGCAGCACTACAAACACTGCCAAGTAGATCTAGTGTAAGGTAGCTTTAACATGTCTTTATACCTGAGGAGGTATCGCAATTGTTTCTTTCAGGAACTGTGGTGGGATTTCTCTTAGCTCTGATACTTTTACAGTTGCAACCGTTCCAGTATCCATGAACTGCACATCAAGTGCCCGTCTAGTGTGAATAATTCTTATCTGAAAGAAGAAAGCAAAAGCATCATTTTGGGGTTAAAAACACAATAGTGACACATATCCTGTAATGAGTTTCACAGAAACTAAGGATTCAGAATTAGCTGAACAAAAAGAAGAGCCATTTCTGTGTAGGAAAACTGTAGCTGTTCTTTGAATACTTCTTACCTCTACGCGTGCCCATTTTCCTTTGGAAGGAAACAAGCAGATTTTGCCACAGAAAGGTAGCGATACATTAAACTCAGATGTCTGCTGCAAATATAAAAACAGAAGTTAAAAAACATGGAGCTATTACTATCTGTTACTCAACAGTTGTGAGAAGCAAGAACTCTGTTTCAAATATAAAGTCACTTTCCAGCCTCAGAAGCATTTCTTATCATGTTGTTTTAAGCTTTCCCAATTGGTAAAGCTTTAATTCCAAGCTGTGTATTTTACAGGGGAAGAGAGAATATAAAGCGCCAGGGGAAGAAAGCCACATTTGGAAACACAGAATATGAAATCACTGACCATTACTTTAATGTTCTGAAAAGCAAGAGCAATTTTAGAGTTGTGACAGACAACTAAAGAAGCTCCTACTTTATATTCTATAACACATAATTTGTTGATATATTTCACAAACCAAATTTACTACTGACTCAAATGAAAGTCTCATGAGGGTGACATTCACCAAGATGATCCTAAATAACATAACCAGACAATGTCTACACTATAAAAAGCATGAAGAAACTCCATTTGAAGACCCATCAACACCTTTGTTTAAATTCTCAGGCAAAATAAAAACCCTCAAGACAAGCTGCAAAGTCAAGACTGCTTCTTTTACCCCCATATGCAGATTGATATGAAAAGATTCTGAATGTCAAGGCCTCTCTTTGATAGAAACAAGAACCTAAGTACACTTTATCCAGAAAACCTGAACTTTTGAAATACTTGTCTGGCTGCCTGCCTTTGTGTTGGTAAATCTTTCAGGGTTCTATATGCTTTCCTTCAGTGTTTAGCTTGCTTGAAACTGAATCTTGATAACTGTGTTCTATATAAAGTATTTCTAAATAGTGTGTGTTCCACAACAGGTCTAAAGCTCAACTTCTACACATAGAAACACTTTGAAAGAGTAGTTTCCGAAGCAGCAGTTCTAAAAGGATCTTCAAGGATCTCCATTTCATGCTTGGATTCTTTAACCCTCAGCTGAATGTTGAACAAATTAGATTCTCCTAAGACTTCTCTTTTGTATAAATTCTCTTGAGTCTAGTAGGGATTGTTGCACATGTCTGTAAATGTCCAGTGAAATGTCAGAGTTCTCTGCCATGTGCCTACTGTAAAACAGCTTAAGACTTTTGAAAACACCTCCTATATATCAGTTCTAGTTGAAATTAGCCACAATATTCAAAAGCTAAGGGTACAAGATATGTAGCTGACCAGATCAAAGCCATCGAATCTCCAAGGAAGTCAGGCTAAAAAGAACAGACCTTGTTTACACTGCTTTTATTGTCACTTTGCACGGTGAGCGCTGGGCCAGGCTGTTTACACACCTGAACCCTATCATCTAAATAAAACTTCCAGGAAAGAATATGGCAGTATCTCCACAGGCTTTATACCAATCTGATGCAGTTTTCATTGCAAGTTTCCCATTATGAGCCATATTGTTACTGTTCTAACTATTCAGGGTAAGTTGTAAATAGTTACTGAAACATTAGAGACAGCTTTTGAACAAGTAGGCATTAAAAGACACCTTTCACATTGAAGGATGCACCCCAAAACACAGGTAAATAATTTGTAGCCTTTTTGAATAGTCTGTGGCTACCTCAGAAACTTTAACTTTTTCCTGTTCAAGGACAATGATTGGTACAATCTGAAGAAAGGCTACATGACTTCACCACTTCACTTACCATAGAACCTACCTTGTAATGGAAGTAGTCTTCTAGTTTCTGCAAGATTTCAGTAAGTCTAGACAAACCTTTAGATGGCACTTGGCAATACAGGCTTCCATCAGAGAAAACACTGGTTACTCTGACATTTGTATATAGTGCATCTACCTGCAATGGTAAGATTTTGATAAGAAAGGGGAAAAAAACACACACACAAACTTAGTAAATTTCTGAGTACTGTTTTTGGTCTATCCAAGACATCAGTAGTCAATGATTTTTAATGAATTAAGAAAGAAACAGGAAAATGGTACCTGTAGGTGTAGTTCAAGGGACTTGTCATACAATGCCCTCAGACAAGTAGCATTGATGTTGATATCATCTTCTCCGGAAGTGTCATAGAGAACAAGAAGAGGGATATCACTCTTTTCCAGTATTTCCACAGCAAATATCTTGGAGCATGTCTGTGATTCCACAGTCTTTACTAGGACAGGATCATCACAGAAGACTTCCAGTCCTGTAAGACACACCATACTCTTTATGTATCACCTTATTCGAAGGGAAAAATAACAGCCAAGTCTGTGTTCACAACAGGAATCTTCCAAGAATCATAATGTAGCAGGAAAGTTGTACTGCACCCCTACCTTCATTCTGCTTTTTTAACACAGAAGGCCATCTTTGGAGAGGGAAAAAAAAGAAGAAAGAAAAAGATCCTCTTCAGAAAGAGACGAGGCAAATGTGTAGAGAAAAAAATGAATGCATCCAAGTATTAGAAAAAAAAAAACAAACAAACAAAAGTGCTCATTCATGGCAATTTTATATATTTAAAATAAAATATTTTTTTAAAGTTAGAAATGCCTACCAGTTTTAGTAAGGTAAATAATTTCCAGCAGAGCTTGGGAAGTCTGCAAGTATGCAAGTACTGAAAGGGGAAGGATCCCTTTAAAATAATTAAATAGGATCACATTTAGGAGTATTGCCTGACCTGGCCAGAATAGATATGCCTCATCTGTGGAAAAAGTGGTTGTGCTAATGTGTTGCTTCACACAACAGCAAACATTTCCTTGTATTTCTTTAGGCTTGCATATATTAAAGTGACAAAGACTTCCAAGCTAAGTGCATAAACAACTAAGCTCCATACAGCATCAAGGTCTGGATATCAAGATCTTCTAGTATCAAAATATCTTTATAAAACTCTCCTTGACATCCTTGCCTCTTTCCATCCCTACCAGTGTCTGATTAGACTATCTGTCTTGGACAAAATCTAACATGCATAGAGTTATTACAAACAAGGATCAAAACTCCCAAACTGAGATGCTTCAATCCATAAATCGTGAATGGCAAATTTGTCAAAATTGGCCTTCTCTTACCTGCCAGTTTACATTTTGCAGCTTGAAATGGCAGTGAATGGAACTGTTTCTGTAGTATGTATACACTGTTGCTTTCAACAAACTCACTGAAGCCATGATCCACATAGCATACCTGATAATGGAAAAGTGAGTAAAAGCATAAAATCATGAATACAATTGTAAATATGTTTTCTCGAGTCTAGGGAAAATCTATTCAGTTATCACATTCTCTGTGCAGCCACAGACAAATGACTTTTCACTAATTTAGTAATATCTAATACCATTAATATCATGTTTTTTTCACTGCTTGAATGTTCAGAGTTTTCAGGGAAAGCCTTCTTCTCAAGATCTCTGTAAAACCATCTCCTCCAACTGTTCCACAGAATCTCAACTCTTAATAGGAACAGTGCTGGAATGGCTTAGCACATATGACCTCAAACCTTATAAAGAAAGGTAATAAAGAAGCAATTTTTATTTGCAAAGTTTTGAAAGTGTTGAAAAGTCAAATACCACTTAAGCGCCATTCTATATTTTGCCTTTTGTTTCTACAGAATTAAGAGAATCGTTTTGATTTATGTTCATAGTAACTTTGATACAAATACTTGTCAGTGCAGGAAGCCCATAGGGAAACTGTTGATTGGCAGCAAATAACTGGAGCTAAAGTGAGAGGAAGATGTCTTTGAAAGAGCTTTTTACAACTCTTTTCTAAACTCTACCATGTAAAATGTCTGCATACCAAACATTGAAAAGGAAGTCTGAACACTGTGTTAGAGGATAATCAGGAAATGGTGCAATAAAGCAGTAGCCTTATTTTGACTGATAGCTCCAGCTAGAGAGAAATTAGAGGCAAGCTTGCTATCAGTGTCCTTGCCATTACTCTAAACTCAACAATCTTTCATAAAACCAAGTTTTGACACCCTCATCAAAGTTCCAGCTGAAGGATATCACACTAACTTTTAGAAAAATCTCAGTTCAAATACATGTGGTATTTAAATATTATGAAATGGATCAACTTTAGAAGTATGTTAAGCAGACCTGGATAAAAATTCACCTAACTGGGGGGAGAAACAAAAAATAAAAAGGTATCATTAATGTTTGACTAGGCAAGAAATAATTGAGAAGTTTGAAACTTTTTTTACAGTTCTATCATATGTTGTAGTTTCATTGCAGATGGCAAGAAGAGTCTGCTTGGCCCAGGAAAAGTTTAACAAGTGAGTTAAACAATCTCAAAGGGGTTTAACTAAAATGTACACTACAAATAACTCTCAGAATACCAGATCTGCCTGGAAGCGAACACGAGTATATCGTTCTCATTGTCTTGCTATTTAGTGCATGTAATATTTATTTAAGTACAAGACTTCCAACAAGATCTATCAGCAAGTGAATTTCGTTCTTCCCATTCCCTTCCTCTATCCCACTCCAAATAGTGCTACTACACCCATTCCTCCTAAGACTATCAAAGACACAAAACACCCAAATTCTAATTATTTATGGAACAAAGCCTAGAAGACCATTTAATTTGGGTGATCACATAACTTCAAAAAAGTCTTAATTTCTCATATAACTGAAAATAGAAGGACTTTGAGCTAAAAAAGGAGAGAATGCTAGCATATTTAAGAAGAGAGTGCAGCATATTTAAGAATTGACTATGTATCTAAAACCCAAGGTTTTTTCAAGCTTTTCTCCAAGTGCCAAAAGAAGTATTTGCTTGCCTTTATTCTGTTGTCTTCTAGAGAAATTATCCGAGCACGCAACCAGGCATCTTCTTCAGCATGTACTGCAACAAGTTGCCCAACACACAGAGATTGAGCTAGTGACACTGTACTGTTCTGACTATAGTACGCTTTCATGTCGTCTTCCATTTGTTCCTGGGCAGAAGAATAATCTTTGCCCACATACCTACAATATTTTACAAAAAAACCACAAGAGTTAGGATGCAACTTCAAAAAGTTGAGTAAAAACCTAAGTACATTTATATGCATATATGAATATGAGTAAACTATAGATATATACATTTTCTAAGCATATCAGTATCCAAGCTCTTTCCCCATTAACAGGGCTATTGAAAAGTAACTGACATAAAATTCTGTACTTTTGTTGACAGCTAAATGTGGTCCAGCAGTGTATAATCTAACACACTCAACTAGATTTTTAGTAAGAGCTCTTACCTGATTATTACAATCAAGTAGAACAGCTTGACCACAAGTGCAGAGTAGTGTCTGGGACCAAATATGAAAGAGAACTAATATGTCATCTCTGATGTTACTCTGTCATTAACAAACAACTTACTCAGGTTTTCACTAGGGTTGATCAAAAACAAGGCATCTAAAATAACTTTACAAATCAGCTGTCAAACCTTGTGCTGTTTACTCTCAGCCTTCAGAACAATCCTGATATTAGGCTGCTGATGTAATGGTTCATACCAAAGCAGTTTGTGTTGAATAGATCTTTTTCATAAAGTATATAAATTTACTGAAAACTCCAAATGTGAAGTTCTGAATGCTTCAGAAACAAGTCATATTAGAGCAGACAAAATTAAAACTTATTCCCAAATTTGTATTAGTAGCTATTGTTTTAACATGTTCATAGAGTGATTAATACTGCTCATTTCTACCACACAGTTTCGATTACCATCCCATAAAAATACACGTTTATTCTGAAAGTCTGCTATATGCCCAGGATTACTTCAGATGCTGCACTATGGCATACTATGCTAACTTTGTTATAAAGATTAAGTTATATCTGATCACATTCCAGGGAACTCTCATTATCCTAGACAGCCTGCTACCTCACCATCCAATTATATATTGCTTTTCAGAATGACAGCCCTTTTGTTTCTATGTAAGCACTTCTTGACTTCATAATGGACATGTAGTGCGGCAACAGTCACGTATGTGCCACTTAAAAGTTTATTTCTTAACATTTGTTTCATAAAGATACTTAACACCCAGTAGGAGTATTTTAACAGAAAGTAGAAGAATCTTTCAGAATTTCCTGCCTCACTGACTATTTTCTGATAACAGGTGAGCATCACACTGAAGAAGTTTTTGGCTGCTCACAACCAATTCAAAAATTATTTTTCAGATTCTTTAGAAAAGCATCTTGGAAAGTAACCTCAAAAAAAAGTATGTAAGAGACTAATCTATGTCTAGGTGGCCAGACACTGTGAGTGTGCATTCAGCATCATTCTTGGTCTCAACTGGAACCAATTTATGTGTCAAGTAAAGCTTGCTGCATCATTGTGAAAGGAACAGAAGGGTATGGTTCCATAGTGAAACAAACGATAATATTTTGTCTATTCAAAAAGATAAAAGAAGCTGAAAAAAGTATCTGAACTGTAGCACAGAAACTCAAGGTAGTTGAGAATAAAAGGTGATAGCTAATTATTTCTTGAGAGAATTCAAATGTAGCACCTAGTGTATCATCTCTGCCTTCAATCATACTCTTTTAGAAGTATAGCAAATATTGAGGAGAATTTCTATCACCTCACTTTCATTCTGACTACCTCAGAATTCTTACAGAATTGTACCACGTCTCAAAATTGAAACAGCACCAAACCTTCCAGCTTTGTCCTAATTAGTACTGCAGTTGAAAGGTTTCAGCCAAACAACACCTAGCCACATATCAAGAAAGTAAAAAGATATTCCTCCATCCCCCAGACAGAAAGAGGAATCTTTATTTTATTGATCTTGCAAAAATCAACATCAACTAGCTGCTAAACAGTTCTGTGGATCCAGAGAAAGTGACTGCTAGTACACACATGGGAAGAGTAAGTCCATGCATTGTTTCATTCCTATATGGCTACATGAACACTTTCATGTCATGGCAAAAAACCTATTCCTTTCAGGGCTAGTTTCATCTTGAAGGTAAGTGACCTTGCCCATGAAGTACAGAGACAACCCTAAGTAGTCATTTCCGTATCTAGGGCCAAGAAACCACTAATCACCACCATGTACCTCCACAAAGCTGAAAAATTCAGAAACTTTTAATATTGTCCAAAAACCATCGTCCAAAATTTGAGAACTGCTGCTTTAGAGAAATTTGAACATAATCACCCTCAGCTCATCAATGTCACACAGTAGTTCAGTCTATGAGACTTGAAGCATTGCCCCAAATAATTAGTGGAAACGTCTTTAAAATAACAGATTAGAAAACTAAGATTTTTTTACTCCACATATACAGCAAGATATCAATGCTGCCATGATTAAAAGGTGTGCAGTGAGCAGGAAGAAGTTTTGCAGAGTTAAGTCCCACCTGCATAACAAACTGGAAGAGCCATATAATTTCTTCCTGCTTTTCTCAATACAAAACATGCAATATGTATTGTGTCTGTTTCAGTATCTCTATGTACAGATGAGTACGTATCTTAAATTGGCTGTCTTTTCTGGCAGTATTAATCTTTATCATCTTTCATGTCTTAGACTAAATTCAAACAGAGCTTTCACAGGGATAACCTAAAACATAAAGCCTCTATTTTCTTTGATGTAGTTCCTCCTCCTGTGACTTCCTTTTTTAAGTTTAGGCTCACTGACAAATTCTATCTGTGTCTTCTTTGGTAAAATAATTGACTCATCCAGCTGGAGATAGTGCAAACGTTAATGATGGATGAAGAATCTTGTCTTAAATTATGCTTTGTGGTAAGACCAGTATACAAAATAAATGTATAAGAAATGTACAAAAAAGGCTTATGGGAGAAAAAGCAAAGTACCAGAATGATGCTAGCAGCTATAATTAAGATGTCAACATTCTCAAGAGAGAATTTCTCTCATGATCCCCAAGTTTGGGGGGTTCACTACATGTTAACAGCCATTAAGATTCCATGATTTCAGGGAACTGAAACAGTGGACTGACACATACAGAGAGAAAAAGGACACCTGAATTTCAGCCTTAAGGCTAGTGTGTTGAATATAGCCAACCAGCAATGAGGAACAGTGTGTTAGTTTCATAGTGAAAGGATCTGTAAGTAAACTGCACACATACTTATTTTGATCCTAATCAAGACCTCTGAGAATGACTGAAACTATCTAATGAAAGCTGAAACTGCAGAAAAAAAAAAGTGGGAAAAAACAGAGAGCTGTCAATGTAGTATATTACCACACAGTTGCTCAATTCATCCTTAGAAGTGACATATAAAACTTTTTAAGATTAGGCTCAATTTGAAATAATTTTCAAAGTGAAATATTCTCTAGAAAAAGTGCTTGGGTTTTTTTGTTTACTTCTTAGGTTGGCTTTTTTAAGTTTTAAAGAACTGCTAGCATTTGTGTGTTTTATCCCAAGAACAAAGTATAGAAAGCTTATCATAGTATTTCCTGAAACAGTACAATAACATACAAGAGATAGCCACTACAATCTGCTTGTTACACTGTCCTCGAAGTCTGGGCTGATTAGCAATCAAACCAAGAAGCACTAGTAGTTTATTTCTGGATGGAAGCTCATCTGCCCCCAGGAATGAAAACTGCAGTGTAATCTGAACACACTCAAGTCACATCTAGTTAGCAGTAAGTCAGTTACAGAAGTAAAAGATATTTTAATAAGTATTGCAGCAAAATCTGAATACTACGTGTTACAGTAGGGTTATATCAAAAAGTCTTCCAGCAGCAAGTAAAATCTGCTTTCTCAGACAAGCTAATGATAGAACTCATCAGCTCAGCACAGAAGTTTCAGAAATTTTCCATTTAAGCACACAAACAAAAGGATACTTAAGTTTCATTATCAAAATAAGTAAATGACAAAGTCCTGCAACCTCCTGTTCATCTGTTCTCTTATGGCAGACTTGCACCATACAAATATGTGGATTTATAAATAAAGCAAAAAAGATAGATTCTGAAGTACAAACTTGCCTAATTAGGACATCATTAGTGGTTTTTAGTTCTAACACCATGACAGACACAGATCCTTCTGATGGAATGATTAGAGGAGGAACAGTTATGTTCTCTGGATACTGGTCCTTGGATTCTTCATACTGTTGTTCAGCTGTGGCCTTCACACCATCATGCCTCTGGACTTTCTCAGTGACATTCAGATTTCCATCAATGCGTCTTTGGGGTTTAGCATAGAGGATGGCCTTTCTGGGGGCTTCAGATACATAGTCCACTATACATACATCTGAGAGCAACTCTAGGTTATTTAGAATGTCTTCTGGAAATTTTACTTGGTAAGTGTCTTGGTACAACTTAGGAAGTGCATTAGCCCAAAGACCACTGGAATACTTCAGCAAGATGTTAACAACTTTCTGCTTGAAGTCACTACTAAGTGATGCAGATGTGGTCTCTGTATCTGGTTTTAACAAAGGGTCTACTTTTGAAGCAGTAATGTTCTGAGATGCCTTTTCTTGCTCTGTATCACTTTTTGCTGTTGTTGTTGGTATTTTCTTAGCAGGATAAAGAAGCCCATCCATCTGATCACCCCTGTGTACTTTCTCCACCTTGGAAAACAAAAAGTAGAGTCAATAATCAGTTGCATCTCTAGGTCTAAATAATTTTGCCAATTACATTTTTATAACAAGTATTGTATACAGACTTTGAACTGGACATCCACAAGGAACTAAGCTTGAGGCAGTCACTACAGGGTAGTATTTCTTGTAATGCTTCTTCCTCCATTTTGAAGGATACCAAACACGTATGACTGTATCAGTTGGGGCAAATACCTGATCTATGCAATACAACTCGGCCTTGTTTTGTAAGAATTATCATCTCTCTTTTCTCCTAGGACACACTCTACTAACTTAGGCCTTTTGCACATAACCTTCCTGCCCCGATCTTCCACACAGGTAAGGATATCATAAATAAAAGTTTCTGTATCAGTTTACTGAGGGAAAGGAGATTTGATCACATACTTCAGAAACAAGAGGACACATGTCAAGCAGTGTTGTAAAGGCTATCTACTGCCATGCTCAGGGAATTATTTTTTCTTTAAAAAAGTTCTGAAATTAAGAAAGAAATTTCTGAATCATAATAAATTTTGTATGAAATTTAATTAGGCCATTTTAAAATATGCCCACAGCCTCCCTCCAGACCCAGATGTTTTGCCAGTCCATACATCTCTACTCTGCTAAATTCAATAACGAGACCTCACATGGTCTGAAGTCACAACCTTGAAAGCATGATATGAGAACTGTGGTAACAAACTCACAATAAAATTCCACTTCCTAAAGCTATGCAGTTTCGACCTAGATCAACCTAAACATAGCGTAGGAGGAACATCTATGTAGAATTGAGGTGACAAAAGCTTTCAGTGTTTTCACATTGGTCCCAAATCAAGAACAACTCCTGCAGTAAAGGAAGTTATTAAGGTTTATGTAGCTCCACCTTGATGTTCTTTCCTCAGAGGAAACAACTCTCATCAGTTTCCTGGGTCCACATCACACCGAAGTCCTTTTCAGAGGCAGATCAATGAATAAAACACTGAGTAGCTGAATTACTTCCTACTACTCAGGGGTAGAATTTACCTTTATGATTTGATGTCCATACCCATCAGAATGTTATAAACCTTGCTGAAGTCATTCTTTGCTGTTCTGTCTTAGCAACTTACAATGGAAGCATAACAAGAAGACTTTATTATCTTACATAACAAGAATAGTAAATGTCACTCATTATCAAGCTAACATTAACAACACATTTAGCTACAATACATTGAATAAAATGAAAAAAAAATGGCCCTTGCTGTGTCAAGAACCATGTATTTCTCCTATGTGCACCTCTTCACACTCAGCCCAAATTGACACATGATGATCTGAGTTGACAGTCAGCAAAACCACCTAAGCGTTAATACACAACTGCATTTCCACACACTTGTGCATTACTCTGTCTAGACTGGTGCAAAAACAAGCTATGAAATGGTCCTTGGGGATAGGTCTTGGTCAACTTTCTCAAACACTAGCATGCATGCTATCTAAAATTGACACAAAGGAAATAGTTTTCATAGATATAAAAAAATATTAACCACGTTATTCTCATGCACTCATGGTGGCATATTTGAGTCCTTCTTTATGAGTAAAAAAAACAAAGTAGTAATATTTTCTGCCAGAATAAGACATAAGAAGGCACACAAACCTATCTAACAACCCTCAGCTTCCTAAATTCATGAGAATGAGTCCAGAAGCTTTAAGAATTGAGTCTTTCCAAGCAGGCTCACTAAACCAATGAGACATTCCCTCTTAATTGGAGGGAGGGGAGAATTAGGGTCTAGACATCCATTTACTAAAGAACATATATCTACCATAGGATAAAATATAAACAAATCATATAAAGGACTTCAATGTACCAGTGGTACATTCACCAAGTTCTTAAGCATCTCTGCTAGTCAGCTTGATATAAGTAATAACAAAATATGTCTGGCCATGCAAACTAGAAGGGCCAAAAATGTATTCAATGATTCATGACAGGAAGAACCTACATTTGTATCCTCTGGTATCAGGAATCTTACTGTGCCTCTTGAACCACAGGCAAAGAAAAGAGCTTGATTATAAAAACAAACAAACAAAAACTTATCAAAGCCTTGCAAAGGCTTTGATATACAGTCAAGAGACCAAAGTATATCAAGTGGCCCAGAGAAAAAATCAGGGCACACCACCTTGGCAGGTAATGACATCCTAGATAGAGAGGAATTGATAAGGATGTCCCAAGTGTCCATGCACAAGATTGAGGAATTTGTTTAAATGACCAGTCAAGGAAACTTTTAGCCTCAGAGAATACTTGGTATTATCAGGACAACAATCTGTTTGAGAAGGCTGTGTTGGAATGTATGGCAGTTCATCCTGAAAGAAACTGGATGCTGAAGTCTACCCTTATGCACCCTTTCTTTTAGCTAGCTCTTATTTTTATTAGTGTTGCAACATAAGCGAATAAATTTTAGCTGACAGGACTATTCAACCTTACACACTAAAGACTTGCAGCAGACTAAAGAAAGAAGATCCTTACAGACCTTTAAGCCTCTTAACTCCAATAATAGCTCTGAGGTTTTCTAGGCATTGAAGCTCTGTTTTGAAGAGACTGTAGACACTGACTGAGCAAACCATTTAGAGACAGAAAAATGCCATTTCAGTAAGTTACTTAAGCTTACTTCCGTATAAAGTTCAGATGGAAATTATTAGGCTACTATTTCTTCCATAGAAGTTAATGTTCAGGATGAAAGAGACTCTGCCAGAGTGCTATGGCCAAGTCACCTTCAAAGACACACAATACTACAGAAACTTTTAAATATATGCAAACAGCTTCACTCGTGACCAGCACTTCAAAACATCCACCTTCTCTTTAGCACAAATTTCTCAACTTAGTTTCCAGTTGGGTTTATAGATTTGCCTGCAAGGTACTTCCCATTAGCATGGCTTGCAGACCTGCTTTACAAGCACAACATGACAGTTGTCACCTCTCCATTACAGAGCACAAAGCAGAGTCAACAGCTGTCAGAATGCATTACCAGGGCAACACAGACTGAAGTCATTCTACACAGAAGAAAAACAGGTTTGTCCTAGGTCTGAGTAACAGAAGGAGCTTTTTAAAATTAAAATCTGGAGCCCAAAATAATAATGCTTCAAATAAAAAAATACTCCCAAGATAAATACTGACACTGCAACTGAGTAAGTCAGTGGAATGCAAAAGAAGAGCAAGTCCACTCCTTCTGACATATATCTATTGAGGGGATGAAGGCAGACATGCTGTGTATGTGTTGCTAGGACAAAAGCTTTGTATATGTGTGCTTGACAACGTGCAAGTAAACCATGACACTAATACATCTAATCAAAATAAAGGATCCACTTTGCAATGCCAGAATGACCAAGATAACACCAAGTCTTGTTTAATTGTGTGTATGTAGTGATCAAAGAGCAAATACACTGGCAAGGTCCTAGAGCATCAATACCTTCCAGGAAGGAAGTGGAGAAAAACACCTTGAAATGAGAGCTTCTAATCAGAGAAAGTGTCCTTCACTTTCCTGGTTATATTCACAACCAGCACATACAGCTATCTGCTACCATTCTTCTGCAAAGTAGGGAAGGGTAGGGAAAGTTGGCACCTAATGTCTGTGACTAATGACAGTCTCATCGTATATGGCAAACAGGAAAAGTCTGGCTCCATGATTCTTGGTATCAAACAGGTCCTCAAAGACTGCTCTAAAAAACACTGATGAGAACTACCACTGATTCAGTGACAATAATTCATCAGGCTATGGTGTGTGTAGTTGTTGGCTGGGGTTAAAACACAACAGTCCTTTTTGGCATCCAACATGGGGCTCAAAGGGCTCAAGATAAGGATAGATTTAATTGGAATGTGACAGATCAAATTTATAGCTGTTATTGCTGTTTAGTTGTTAATTGTCAGACTCCTGTGCTTGCCATGGGGCTTGCTATGTAGTGAGTCTAGTGCTTGTTAGTGGCTGCTTGCTGTACTGCTTATCATCTTCCTCTGCCATGCCTTGGAACATTTTGATAACAGCAATGGCCATGTGTCTGGGCTGGCAGATGGCCAGGGCATCGCTGCTGCTTCTGTGCTGCTGTACTGGACAGGCTGGAACTCCAGTTCAGTCGAAAGGTCTGTCACCTGTGGATGAGTCCAGATGGGAGCAGGACACCCTGAAGTGCCTGTGGCCGTGAATAAGTCCACACCAGAACAGGTACACCTCAAAGTGTCTGTGGCCAAGGTTATGTCTGTGCCACAGCAGGTATACCTCTGGAGGGACTGTGGCTCAAGGGTAAGTCCACGCTGGAGGAGGTACACCTTGAAGCACCTGTGGCCATGGATAAGTCCATGCTGCAGCAGGTACATCTTGAAGCATCACTGGCTGCACACGAGGTCATGCTGAAGCACCTCAAAGCTTGTGGGCATGGATAAGCCCACAACAGAGGAGTTATACCTCTGGAGGGATTGCAACCATGGGTAAGGCCATGGCAGGGCAGGAGGTAAGCAGGGGCAAGGGGTGGAGACTGTAATGGAAACACCTTTAAATTGTTGTAACCCATGATTTGAGTTGCATGTTATAGGAATTATTGTAGCAGGAACCACCTGAACCAGTGGAGAACAAGCCTTACAAGAAGCAGTGCAACTGCAGCAGTGACCCAACCTGAGCTGGCTGTGGTGCCCAGTCACTCCATGAAACACACCATCCCTCCTGTCCTGAGTGACCGCTGTAACAGATGGAGCCCAAAGCCATGGACTAAATTAACTCAGTGGACATTTTGTGGACACTTTGTGGACATTTTATGGGCATTTTATGGACATTTTACAGGGGTGGTCCATAGACTAAGGGAATGATATCTCTGTATGGTATCAAAGGATGGAAAAGGGGGGGTAGTGGTTAATGAGGTTGTATTGGATAGTCTGGGACCTGAGCATGACATAACTGATATGGAATAAGGCATGTAGAATGTGCTGGTTTTGGCTGGGATAGAGTTAATTTTCTTCACAGTAGTTAGTATGGGGCTATGCTTTG